GAAATGAAGGATCACAAGACTATAGATTCAGAACAGGAAGAGACCTTAAAGGCCATCCAATCTAACCTCTTTGTTTTATAGATGAGGAAACTGAAGAACAGGGAAGTGACTTTCCAAAGGTCACACAGCCAGTGCCTGAGGTAGAATTTAAACCCAGCTCTTCCTAATACCAAGTCCAGAACTCTAAATACTTCTCCACGCTGCCTCATGGCATCCAGTCCAACATCCGACGTGGTCCAAAATCCCCTGTACGATATTGGGACAACCTTTGCTCCTTTGGTCTTAGCTGTAACAAGTCAAATTTCTTTTCATATACTTGAAGACAACTCTTGTGAGGGAAAAGATTTGCAAGGTAATGCCAGGAGCCCTAGCCTGTGAAATTAGAGAGAATCAGTGTATGGCGGTTAAACAGAGCCTGGGCAGCCAATACTAACACAGCTGGGAGGGAGCAGCTGGCTCACAATCAGGGCATTGCTATAGATATGCTTTCCAACACAGTAGGTAGAGATAGCCTGTGAACATCACTTCACTGGACATAGGCCTGATAACGAGCAGGGAATATCCTTGGGAATAGGAGCTTCGAGATCATACTGGAACACTCTAGAACACTAGAGAACATACTAGAACACTCCTTTCACCCGAAATGGGGGCACACTTGAAATCCCGTAAAGAATATTCTTTCTCAATGGCTTGCCTTACTTTGCTGTACATGTAGGACACTGGGGTCCAAGGGCATCAAATGCTATCTTCTCCAAGAACCATTCACTGACACCCTCAAATTGGTAAGTGCCTTCACCCTCAAACCTCACAGAGGCCTCGTACTGTACACTTAGTATATAATATTGTGCACTGTAATTGTCTGTTTCTCATCTTCCATTAGACTGTATGCTCCTTGAGGGCAAAGGCCAAAGGGCAGAGGTCTTAGCAAAGTTCTCTTTTTAAATCCTCCAGTACCAAGAATAATGACCTGCATACAGGAAGCACCTGATAAATGAAGTGAAGACAGAGCAATGGATTAAAAGGTAGAAAATGTGGGTTGAAATCTTGGCTCTATTATATACTCTGTGACCTTGAGGAAGTAAGTTAGTCAATCAGTCAGTCAACAATTTAATAAGCACTGAGAATACAAAGAAAGGCAAAAGCTCTGTCTCTGCCCTCAAGGAGCTCGTGATCTACCCTAAAAGACAATATGCAAAATAATAGCTTGATACATACAAGATGCACACAGTGTAAATAAAAGGTAATCTCAGGGGGAAGGGAGCAGGACTCTGACAAAGGCATCTCACAGAAGCTAGGATCTGAGCTGAGTCGTAAAGGAAGCCAAAGAAATTGGGGTCCTTTCTCTAGGCCTCAGTTACCCCATTTATAAAATAAGGGTGTTGGACCACACTAGACCTTCTCTAAGGTCCCTTCTTGCTTGAAATCCTTTGATGGCAAATGTTTCCTGAATGTACAGATGTGTAAAAATTCATCCCATTCACAGAGTGCTTTGCAAACATGGGCTCTGTGTGTGTGTGTGTTTGTATATATTTATATATATCCTTTGGAAAGGGCTTTCAGATTTTTCATAGTGAAAGATAAACTCACTTAATTTAAAATCATCAGCTGGACTGAATTAGATGGGGAAAAAGGAAAAACATACACAATACCTCCATTTGTTAAATTAAACACAATTATTTCTCCTGTTACTTAATTACAAGCAGACATGAATACCTCTGATTCTGACAGCTGAGATCTGTTTAAATGTTCCATCTGAATCTTGGAATGTAATGCTATGACGGGTCAGGTTCCATTGTATGCATTAAGTAAACTTGAGAGGGAAAACTGTATATCGGAACCATAATGACTTCACTCTAACTAGACCTAAACTTTTAATTAACCTGCCAAGACAAATTACAACTCCCAGTTCTCAGGTAACTACTGCAGACAGCTGAGACTCAATATCAACACCTCTTTGGGGAGATGGACTAATGGTAGCCCTGGACCCAGAACGGTTTTGCATGAAAGAAAATAAAATGAACCTATTAAATAATTACTGTGCAGGATGGGGGAAGGGGCAGAATTTTGCAAAAAAGAACAAATAATGATGCTACAGCCAGCATTTTAATAAGAATTTCTCTGTGCACAATTTCCTTGTTTCTGCCTTTGGGCTGTCAGATGTGGACACATTCCTCACCATCTCATTCAACAATAACAACAACTCATATTTGGAGAGGCAGAATCGGACCATGGAAACAGCACCAGGCTAAGAGTCTAGATAGTTCTCTATCTATTCACCACACTACCTGGTGTCTCTCCAGTACAAAACAAACAAACAAACAAAAAACCCCACAAAAAACCATATAAAATAAATACAAAATAATTTGGCAGGAGTGAGAGGGTAGGGAGAAGAATGACCTGGTGGGATCAGGGAAGGCTTCTTGTAGGGGGTGGCACTTGAGCTGAGTTTTAAAGGAAACAAAGATGTCTTACTTAGCAACTCATCAGAGCTACAACAACACTTTCCGAACAGTAGCATTTAAATGTTTGTTGCACTGTTCGTTTTATTTACTTTCTTTGCCCTACCGTAATGAGGGCAGATCAGGAGGGAAAATAAAACTCAACTAGTTTTTCTTCCGCAAATAGCCCTCGTTTCCCTATTGACTCAAGGAAGAAGATCAAAGGTGTTGTAAAGAGCTTAGCACAGTGCCTGGCACATAGTACCAGCTATATAAATGCCTATTCCTTTCCTTCCCTTCTCTTCCCCCCATCCTCTGGAAAGATCACCTACTCTTTGGCTGGAATATTCCCCTCCGTTGCAGTGATTGATAAAACACACAATCTTTCTATGGATTGGGTTGTCCCACCACTAATCATTAGGGCCAGAACCAGGAACACAACGGATGCAGTAACAACTACATTGTAGAAGTTAAACAACTGTGAAAGAATTAAGAATGATGACCAAGGCAATGGCCAGCCACGATGCCAAAGGACTGATGATGAAGCCACCTCCTGACAGAGGGGAATGGGCTCAATGTGCATAGACTGTTTGGACATGGCCAATGAAGGAACTTATGTTGCTTGCTACTAGGGTTTTGTGGGGTTTTAAAAATTTTTCCAATGAGGAAATATGGGGGAGGGGAGAGAAAATAGATTTTTTATTCACTGAAAAAAAAATAAAATTAACCCAAAAAAACCCAACTGGGTAAATTCACTGAGAGAAATGAGCATACACATTGAAACACAAAGGTAGGGGGAAACAAATAGAGAGCAAAACACTTGAGACATTCCAGAATTTTAAAAGGGGTCAACCCAAGTAGCTGGTACTCTCTACATCCAAGCTATCCTTCCATCTAAACAGACAACAAAGTAAATGTGTCTAAACTTTTCCCATCATAATTATGATTACACTAAATTTAAAAGTTTTTGCATGAACAAAGCCAATGCAACAAAGATTAGGGCAGGAGAAAGGTTGGAGACCATTTTTACAGCCACTGTCTCTGACAAAGGCTTCATTTCTAAAATACAGAGAGAACTGAATCAAATTTATAAGAATACAAGTCATTACACAATTGATAAATGGTCAAAGGATATGAACAGACAGTTTTCAGATGAAGAAATTAAAGTTGTCTATAGTCATACGAAGAAATGCTCTAAATCACTATTGATTAGAGAAATGCAAATCAAAACAACTCTGAGGTACCACATCACACCAATCAGATTGGCTAATATGACAAAACAGGAAAGTGATAAATGTTGGAGATGTGGGAAAATTGGAACGCTAATGCATTGTTGGTGGAGTTGTGAACTGATCCAATCATTCTGGAGAGCAATTTAGAACTATGCCCAAAAGGCTATAAAACTATGCATATCCTTTGATCCAGCAATACCATTAGTAGATCTGTATCCCAAAGAGATCATAAAAAAGGGAAAATGTACCACATGTACAAAAATATCTACAGCAGCTCTTTTTGTGGTGGCCAAGAATTGGAAATTGAGGAGATGCCCATCAACTGGCGAATGGCTGAACAAGTTGTGGTACACGAATGTAATGGAATACTATTGTGTTATAAGAAACGATGAGCAGGCGGACTTCAGAAAAACCTAGAAAGACTTGCATGAACTGATGCTAAGTGAAGTGAGCAGAATCAGGAGAACATCGTACACAATAACAGCAACACTGTATGAGGACCGACTTTGTTAGATTTAACTCTTCTGAGCATTGCAATGATCTAAGACAATTCCAAAAGACTCATGATGGAAAATGCTATCCACATCCAAAGAAAGAACTATGGAGTCTGAATGCAGATCAAAGCAGACTATTTTCTCTTTTTTTTCTTCCTCATGGTTTTTCCCTTTTGCTCTGATTCTTCTTTCACAACATGACTAATGTGGAAATATGTTTAATATGATTGTGTATGTATAGACTATATCAGATTGCAAGCTGTTTCAGGCAGGGAGAAGGGGAGGGAGAGGGGAGAAATTTAGAACTCAAAATCTTATAAAAGTGAATGCTGAAAACTAAAAATAAATAAATACTTTAAAAAACTTTATAGTTTTAATTAATTTTAATTAATTAATTCAATTTCTGTCTTTCCTGATTCTCTTCATATCATCTGCAAATAGGGATAATTTCACTTCCATTTTGGTGATGTTCATACCTTTGATTTTGCTTCCTGCCAAACTAGAATTTGTCGGGCTATGTCAAATAACACTGGGAAGAGGAGTTATACTCGTGTTACTTTAGAATGTATAATTTGTATTAAAAACTATTAAATACTAAGTAAATAAATAAATAACTGTTCACACAAACAACAGTGTGGACATGGAAAAAATTATTTCCTACTCATCCCACATCTGTATTCTACACAGGCATGACCAAAGAGAATATGGAAAAGAGTTATACCTCCCTTTTTATCCATATACATAGTAAAATGGATAAGGTGAAAATTCATGTCACTAGCTGTCCACAGAGATACCAAAATGAGAACGGGAAAAGGGGATATCTTTAATTCCCTTACCAATAGCAGTGGTGAGAAAAGAAACCACTTCAGATTCCTTTCCATCATTGTAGAAAGCCAGGTGCCAAATCCCGGAATCCAAATATTGGATGAAGCCAGTCTCGTGGCTGGAAGGAGGGACAGAGCCTCGGGACTGGCGCTGAGGGCCTTCCAAGCTCCTCACCTCCTGAGTCAAAAGTCGCCTCCCATCCAAGAGCTCCACAAAATCAAACTAAGGAATAAAGAAAAAAGGAAGGGAGAGAAGAAAATCAGCAGGCTGTTTTAGGTTAATTCTAAATGTCTGTCCTGGGTTTTTAACATAAGGAAATCCAAGATGGGAGATGGGAGAGAGGTTAATGCCATTTGATGGTTGATTAAATAACACAAACTTCCCAAACTACATTTCTCTTGGGAATCTTGTCCACTAGTGAATGCAGAATAACTGCTTTCTCCCCCCAAACCCCCATCCTTCTCTTGCCACATACATAGCTGATTTTTATACTGTTGGGCACAGTATAACTACCTAAATTGCACAGCTAGAATAAACCTGAAGGATCCATTATTTCCTCTGCCTCTAAATTCGACCACACATCAATCATCCTGCACAGATTAGTTTTTTAAATTTCTCTATAACTTAAAAGAAAGTAACTTTGAAAGACTTAAGAATTTTAATCAATGTGATAACCAATATGCCATCCAAGGACCAATAATGAAACTTGCCTCCCATGTGATGTGATGGACCAGAGGTGTAGAATGAGAGACACATTTTTGGGCATGGCCAAAGTATCTTTCTTTCGTTTTGCTTGATTATATTTATTTATTACAAAAGAAGCATCTGGGGGCGGGGGGGAGAAGTGAGATGTGACAGAAAAGTCAAGGGAAGAAAAGGAAGAAAGTAAGAAAGGGGAGGGAAGAAAGAAAGAAAAAACATTAATATAACATTTTAAAAATTCAATAACAAAGAAAGTCAGAAGGGGACACAAATTGGACAATATTGTTAAATAATTAGTTAATATAGACTTTAAAAATTTTATATAACCAAAGTTAGGTTTTATATGCAATCCTTTTTTTGTTCTTTGTGTTTAAATGTTTGTTTATAACTATTAAGTCCATAAGAAAAAAAATAAAAAGGGATAAAATATTCCTATTATTTTTGGAGGGGAGATGAATTCAAGAAGGAAGAAAAAGAAAGAAGTAGAGGGGGAAGAAGGAAAGAAGGAAACTATGAAGAGAAAGGAAACCTAAGGATTTAGAGCTAGAAGGACCCCAGGACACCATTTTAATCCACTCCTTTCATTTTACCAACTGGCAACAGCTGAAGGGAAGCAGATACGTGAATGACTACTTGCTGGGAACGTTACAGAGGCGGTGTTTGCTCCAATATGAATGGCCTTTGAAATGGCTGCTGAAATCTCTTCCAAATCTGAGACTTTGTGGTTATATAACGACTTGCTAAAAAGGGCTGATGAGAAAATTTTTCTAAATTATCTTTATCACCAACTCGGTTCAACAAACATTTATTAAATTCCTACAATGTGTAGTACACCGAGCTTGGCACTGTGGCTACAGAGATGAAGAATGACATATCCCTGCCCTTAAGGAGTTTACAGTCTAATGGGGGGGGAGTTATGACACATATGTGTGTCTGTCTACTTATCTGACACAAAATTTCATGGGATATGAGAGGTCAGAAAGATAATGACAGGTTGAGGAGGGAGAGCTTCCTTCTAGCCAGGAATGAGGCAAGGAGGCTCCATGGAGGAGGTGGCCATGACTTGAAGGAAGTGGAGGATTTCAACAGGGAGAGATTAGGTGGGTTTATACTCCATGCATGTGCAAATGGTAAAAGACAAGCAGGGACAGGATGAGATGGGCTAACATTGAGTAGTCTAGTTTGCCCAGAACGTGGGAAGGGGAGTAGATGGATAGAGTGAGATGCTGTTTGGAAAGGTACATTTAGTGTTCTTGGATTTAGGATTGGAAGGGACCGTAGAGGTCATACTCCATGTTAAAGATGGAAAAATAATAGAGATCTAAAGATTAAGTGACTTGTCCAAGATCACTGTAAGGAGGACAGCCAGAATTTGAAACCAGGTCTTCTACTTTTTTTTTTTTGAGGCAATCAGAGTTAAGTGACTTGCCCTGGGTCACACAGCTATTGTCTGAGGCCATATTTGAACTCAGGTCCTCCTGACTCCAGGGCCAGTGTTCTACCCACTGTACCACCTAATTGACCCCCAAACTACATTTTCTAGTCTGGAGCCAGACTATGAAGGGGCCCTGAATGTTAAGGTAAGGAGTATGTACTTTATCTCATGGGCAATGGGGAAACTATGCTTAAACATTTCTAGGGATGAAAAAAAATAACCTTACCAGTTTGAGATTTTAGGTATAGAAGAGAATGTAATATCTGAAGTCAGAATTATAGACCTTTAGAGCTAGATAGGACTTTAGGAGTCATTTAGTCCAACCCCATTTTACAGATGAGAAAGTGAAGGCCAACAGATAAAGTCACATGCCCAACATAATTAAGTTTACTTCTCACTGAAGTAAATAAATTGAATAGTTGAGATGAACGCTTCTTGGTTATGACACAGAGCTGATTGCCCTGGAGATTGAAGGGAACCCAAATTGACGAGGACTCCTGATTACCTGTGTGTGAGAAGGAGGAAGGCCTTTTCTGCCATAAATCCCAACCAGAGCTGCTTTTCCCAAGGACACGTTGAATTTCAGATGCACCGGGTGATCTATAAACACCTGAGATCTCCAAAAAATACCTGGAGGGATCTTCTGGGATGCCCGTCTCCCCACGTCGATCTCTCCCGAGTCGATAAAACTCTCCTCTGGAAAGAAACTACTAGGCTTCCCTAACAAGACAGGGGTGGGAAGGAAACAAAAACAACAGAAGCCTAATTAACTCACAATCAAATGAAGACATGGGGAACCCTGGGGCGTACAGATTGTGAAGAGCTGGCTCGGGGCCTTCTGAACAGTTCTGTATCCAAGGCCTTTACTCAAAATAGAGAGCCAAAACTTTTGTAACTCTTTTTTTTAATGACAATAATAATAATAATTCTCATATCTATAGTGTTTTCCCTTCAAGGGAGTCAGTGCAAACATTACTACTGTTGCCTTACAGATGACAACACTGAGATTCAGCAATTTGCTCAATGTCATATATTTGGTAATTCAAGAGCGAGGAGATGCACCTAGGTTTTCAGAACCTGAATCCAATAATAAGAGAAGCCATTTCAACAGTGTTTTGAGGATGTGGTCAAGCTCTCAGAGGTAGTAAGAAGGATCAGGACTTATACTTGTCTACTGAATCTGATTCCATTTGTTGAGGTCTTTCCTCAAGTCCTATCCTGTGAGGTGGGTAACATCAATATCTTTTACATTTGAGGGAACTGAAAGTCAAAGACTTGTTCAAGTTCACATGGCTAGTAAAGCATCTTCTCAAGTCCAGACTTCTATCCATAACTCCATGCTATCATAATTCTCACCTTACAGATGGAGAAACTGAGCCCCAGAGAAGGAATATAATTACTGAAGATCACAGAGCTAAGAAGGGAGTGTTGGAGCCAGGACTGGAAGCCAACTCTCAACCCCAAATCCAGAGCTCTTCCTACTAAGCCATGGTGGCTTACAGTTCTTTCTTGGCTCAGGTTTTTCTGCTAGAAATGTGCATGTCTCCAAAGCAACATGGGTCCCTCCCCAGGGCCCATCTGTTTACTGCATAACTCCACAGCTTGTTATGTTTTGATTCTAAAAATAATAATTCGCTTTCATATACAATTTTGCACGTGTGTGTGTGCACATGTAGTATGTGTAAAAGCACACACTCAAAATAGCAAGAGACAGAAAATAGGTGTGACTAATAAATTTTCAACTAATTATAACACTTTTAGAGTGGGTGGCATAGTCAAACCCTTCCCCTTTTATTTTAACAATTAACAATAATAATAGCTAAGGCTTGCAAACTGCTTTAAGGTTTATAAAGGGCCTTATATACACTGTCTCATTTGATCCCTTCAAAAACTTAAGTCAACTATCAGTGTTATTGACCCCATTTTACAGATGAGAAAACAAAAAATTTATGTGACTTGCCCAACACCAAAAAGTTAGTAAGAGATGAGATGTGAACCCAGGTCTCTCCCAAATCCAAATCCAGAGCTCTTTAACAGGGAAAAAAGAAACTGAGGTTTAGACAGGAGAAGTCCAAGGTCATAGCTGAGCCAGCATTCAAATCCAGAGCTCATGGCTTCAAATGGAGAGTTCCTTCCTACTGTATTCCTTCCAAAGTAGGAATGTCAAATTTCTAGTGGGAAACTACGGGATCATTGGTCTGGAGTTGCAGGAGCATCTCAGGGGCTAGCTAGCCCAATCTCTTCATTTTCCAGATAAGGAAACTGAGGTCCAGAGAGCTTAAATGATTTTCCAATGTCACAAAGGCAGTTAAGCATCAGAAATGTTTTGTGGGCTTTTGAGAAACCAGGCCTTGAAAAAAGAGATCAGTATGACACTTGCTCGGTAACCATTTTCTCTTCTCTGTTGGAATGATGAGATCAGGGCAATACTAGAGATGGCCCCAAATCACTCTGGCTAGGGATCCAATCTAATGTCACTAACTCAGAAATCAGAAAATTACCATTAACCTGCCTGTTTTCTATCATACGATATTTCTCTCCCATTCCATGAGAAAGAATTCCCCTGTCTGCTACAATGGGTTCCTACATGGTCTATCAAACTCAACTTTCTTCCAATCCATATTTACTCTGCCTCTGGAAATGTCACAAATTTAAACCTCTGGCTTGATCTTGGTTTCTGCAATTACTTTAAGACCAAGGGACAGCTTCTGTGAGAGTGGGGAGGTTAAGACTGTAGCACCTCTCTTGTACCTTTTTTTTTTGCAAGGATTGGGGGGAACCAGGTTGTCAAAGGAGGAGGGGGAGGCCAGTAGGATGGTAAAGTTTTTATAGCTCTACGAAGATGGTTTCTCTTGTCCCAGGCTGCACCTCCTCTTGGAGAACACTAGCCTTTGTGGACTCCAAAAAAGAGGGGTCTGCGGATGGCAGAGCTAAAGCTGGGAGGAAAAGGAAGCCATTAGCCTGACACAGTCCCCCTCTAATGAGATAAGAGCAGGAGTGGCCCCCTCTGAAAAGCTTACTAGCATGCAAAGGTTTTTTCAGAGGCCCCCATTCATACTGCCTAGAACCAAAGTGTTCCCCAAATAGTGTTCCAAAAACACACAATGGATTCTTCTAAGTCACTTAGAATGGGATCTAGAACAAAGAGCTTTGGATTCAGGGTCATTAGACCTCAGTTCATTCTCTGATAGCTCCTAGCTACGGACTCTGGACAAGTTGATTCACCTTTCACTGACCCTGTTTCATCATCTACCAAATTCCCGTTTTATGACTGAAAAATGGGAATGGGAACAGGAAACCTGTCACAGGGTCAGTGAGAAGAGGGTCAGTGCTACATAACTTCATGTTTTAGGATCTAAAGAACCGGGCCTGGGGTCAGAGGGCATGTGTCCAAACCCCAAAGCTGCCACTCATCGTTTGTGTGATTATGGGCAAATATTTCACTCTGAGCCTCAGTTTCCTTGCTTGTAAAATGAAACAGTTTCTTCTCAGTTTTCTCAGTCTCTGAGGGCTCATTCAGCTCTAACTCCTCTGAAGCTAACTGAATTACTGAATTAGTTTTTATTACTTTGTTAAGCCTGTCCTCAATTTCAATACATGATTGATCAGAAGATATGTGTTTGGGCCAGGCATTGGCAAAGCCAACTGACTTCCCTCAAGGTCTGACAGAAGGGGAATGGTAGGATTGGAGAGTAAACTGCCATCTTTCACACTGGGTCCCATCCCCAGGAGAGGAACAATCCCTAAGGACAGAGAAGCACCAGCCAGGAGCTCTGTCTCCAGTCCACTTCTGTAACCACTAAAGAATACGAAGGCATTTTGAGTGACAGGAAGAGAGATGGAAGATAAAAACACTGACTGCTGATCAGGCTTCTTTCCCTGGATAATTAAACACACTTGATTTGGAAAAGTATATGTTAGGATTTCCTGCCAGACTTCAAGCCTTTCTAGGAACGGAGGTGGGCCAGAAGAAGCCTGGGTGGAGATGTTGGAGTCAAGGCAAAGTACATCTTAATGCAGAGTAACAACCTTAAATGACAACAATAACTCACATCTTTAGAGCACTTTAGGATTTACAAAGTATGTTCTCCACAACAACCATCTGAGTTAGGAAATGAGAGAATTATTATTCCCATTTTATACATGAGAAAATGAAGGTTCCCTCTGTATCCAACAGAAGAGGACTCTTCTGATTCCCCCTACACTAATGCCCCTCCCCTAGCCCTAGAAATTGCCTTGTAATATGTTTGCTTATATTCTGTATCTATTTATACGGCTATATGTCGTTTTCCTCCAATAGACTATTAGTCCCTTGAGGACAGGGCCTGTTTAGTTTCATATGTATCTCCAGTGTTGAGCACGATGTGTAGCACTTACTTAAAAATGCTTGTTGATCAAAAAGGTCCCTCAGCTGCTAGGTGCCAGAGCTCCGACCTGAAGCCAGACTGCATGACTCCAAATCTGGCCCATTCCTTCCATCACCCTGGACCTGGAGCCCCAAATCAGTGAAGCTCATTAACAAAGCGCACAGGATAACCATGGCTGCACACTGAATTTAACTTCTATGGATCTCAGGCTGCTCAGCTGTGAAATGAGGGCAAGCGTCACCTTTCCCATACTGCCCATGAGGAAGCTGAGGCTTTGGGAGGGAAGGAGAAGAGAGGAAAAAGGAGAGGAGAGAAAATGAGGGGTCAGAAAAGGAGAGAAGAGGAGAGGTAAGGAGAAGAGAGAAAAGGAGAGGAGAAAAAGGGAGAGGAGAGGGAAGGAAAAAGGAAAGGAGAGGAGAGAAAAGGAGAGGAGAGGTAAAAGAAAAGGAGAGGAGAGAAAAGGAGAGGAGAGGGAAAAGGAAAGGAGGGGAGAGGAAAAGGAAAGGAAAGGAGAGGTAAGGAGAGGAGAAAAAAGGAGAGGAGAGGTAAAAGAAAAGGAGAGGAGAGGGAAGGGAAAAGGAAATGAGAAGAGAGGAAAGAAAAGGAGAAGAAAGGTAAGGAGAGGAGAGAAAAGGAGGAGAAAAAGGGAGAGGAGAGGGAAGGAAAAGGAAAGGAAAGGAGAAAAAAGGAGAGGAGAGGGAAGGAAAAAGGAAATGAGAAGAGAGGAAAGAAAAGGAGAAAAGAGGTAAGGAGAGGAGAGAAAAGGAGAGAAGAGGAGAGGTAAGGAGAGGAGAGGAAAAAGGAGAGGAGAGGGAAGGAAAAAGGAAAGGAGACGAGGAAGGGAGAGGAAAAAGGAAAGTAGAGAAGAGAAAAGGAGAGGAGAAGAAAGGGGAAAGGAGAGGAAAGGAGTGGAGAGGAAAGGAAAGGAAAAAAGAGGAAAGGAAAAGACAGGAAAGGAAAGGAAAGAAGTATTTATTATTTACTATGTGCTGAGCCTACGTTAAACACTTTACAAATAGCTCATCTGATCCTGATAACAAGATTTGGAGACAGTTGCTATTATTTTCACTCCATTTTACAGTTGAGAAAACTGAGGCAGATAAAGGTTAAATGATGTGCCTAACATCACACAGCTAGTACTCATCTAAGGCTGGATTTGAACTCAAGTCTTCCTGACTCCAGGCCCAGTGCTCTATGCCACTTCCTACTAACTTTATGGGGTTTTGTCAAAAACCAGAAACACTTCCCAGATTGTGAGCTCTCTGAGGGCAAGCATATTCATTCTTGTTTTCATATTTTCTCCCCTGCCTGCCCCCATTCCCTTCCTTTCTTTTTTTCTCTTTTCTCTCTCCC